GTCCCGTAACGCTCGCCCTACTGTTGGCGGGGAGAAGCGGTGGGGGGGAGATGTTCATGTTGCTGCGGTCTGCAGTCTGACCGCTAGATGTCGCTAAAAGTTACACACTGTAGCTTTAAAAACACAGATCTGCGTAGCAGCGGCTAGGGTATCAGAGGCTGAAAACTCTGGTTTACTAGTTCACTCCATAGCCAGAGAATGAGGTAGGATCCAGCCGGTTTGCTGCCAACAAGATGCAGCGGGCGCCACCCTGAGTGTCCCAGATGCCGCAGCCCCAGAGAACAAGCAGGAGTCTAAATCCAGGTCAGGCAAACAGATCAGAACAGGAAGGCTCAGTGGTTGATAGGCAGATTAAGATCAGTTAATCAAAAATACTAAAATGCTAAAAAACAGTCTCACCACTGAGATCAGATGAGAACAGGCATGCTCAGTGGTAGAGAGGCTGAACAGGTCAGGATCAGAAAATCAGAAACACCAAGGAACTCTCAAAACACTCTCCCCACTGGCTAGAGAGAACATGATGATCTGGCCCTGATAACTGGACGCAAGCACTTTAAACAGAGGCAGGAGCAGGTGGCTGAGATAAGCAGTGATTGGAATTACAGGAGAATGGAATTAATAATAGAGCCAGTCATCAGCTCCAAAATCATAACAATTAGCCTATTTTATATATTTTTTTATTTTTACGGCTTGATTAGTACACTTTGGCTCTTGCTTTAATCCACAGGAACTATTTCCATCTGCCCTATTTTGAGAGGAAGCCATGCATCTTCATCAAAAGTTGGTGGCAGGATCAGCGGAGAAGGCTGTACAACGCCAACATCATTGATAACATTGCACACAAACTGGCAAGTGGACACCTTCTAAGACAGCAAAGCGATACTCAGTCTAAATGACAGCATGGTTGAGTCTGACGTTCTACTGTTAATTGCAGGAGGATGGACTGAACGATGTGCACGAGATCATCAAAACAGAGAAAGCCTATCCTGAACGTAGACTGAGAGGTGTTCTTGAGGAACTCAGCCAAGGATGCAGGTCTGTGTGCTTCCAAACATCAAACATCCAGTCCGATTTAATACATTCAATCCACACTGACAAAGCTCATGTTCTTTCAGTCAGTTTCTTTCTCTGGCAAACAAGGATCACAATCAGTCTGGCAGAACCAAACTCGACAGAGAGAGGCTGAAACTGTGCTTGTCAGAAGTGGTAAGTAACCTGAAGATATTTTTCTGCTTCTTGTCAAACACACGTTTCCTTGTTTTGCTAATTTATTTATTTTTTTCTCTAGGAGGCCATTGGTCAACAAGCTAAGTCCATGAGGACACAGGTGAAAAAGAGCACAGTCAGGGATAAACTCAAGCTAGCTCAAAACTTCCTTACAAAGCTTCGCTTCCTGGCTGATGAAGTAAGGCGTCCTCCTAATGAATCAATTTAGAAATTACTAATTTGTGAAATTGTGAGTTATATAAAAAAAATAAAAAATTTTTGTTGCAGCCTCAGCACAGTGTTCCTGATGTCTTCATTTGGATGATAAGTAACGGGAAGCGCATTGCTTATGCACGTGTCCCTTCCAAGGACATCCTTTATTCCAGTATAGATGAGGAAAGGGGGAAAGATTGTGGTAAAGTCAAAACCATCTTCCTCAGGGTGAGTTTGATGCAATACACTTTTATTTATTTTACTATTATTTATTTTTTTCACACTGGTTCAATTTCAGAGGCAAAGATACATTTTATTTTGTCTTTTAAAGATTCCTGGTAAAAAAGGTTTCGGACCTGCTGGCTGGACAGTGCAGTCCAAATTAGAGATCTATCTCTGGCTGGGTCTGAACAGGCAGCGCAAAGACTACCTGAACGGGCTGCCCAACGGGTTTGAGGAAAATAAGTTGTCCAAGGGGCCCGGCCTGCCTTCCTCGCCACCCATCAGCCTAACCTACATGAGTAAGACCATCCGCTGGTTCAATTAATAAAATTAGGCTTACTAAAAACCAGAAGCCTTTTATGAAAACAAAACTTTTAGATATCAACAAAAGATACTTTCTGGAGATTTACAGGTAGTTCTTTGGATTTTTAAAGTATCTTAAAATTGCATGTTTCTGGAACTCACAAGGTACTCGCTGGAACTTGACAGTTATCTTTCTAATGCCTTGATGGAACTTCATTTTTATTTTCCAATTGTCTAACTGTTTCAACTAACTTACTTGGATCTTTGCTATAACTGTCCCGGTATCTACAGGTTACTTTTCGTTAACTTTTCAGGTACTCTCTGGAAACTGACTGGTTGCTTTTCCAACGACACCAAATATTTTCCTGGAACTTTCTTGTAACTTTCTGTTATTATTTCTAAGAACAACAGGTTACCTACTTTAAACACTCTGTAAATTTGGGATAGAGGCTATATTAAAAGGTGGTGTAAGGATGTACATAACAAGGAACAGGAACTTACTTGTACTTTTAGGATCTAGAACACATTTTGTGAAGATTAAGAAAGTACCTGTTAAATTCTGGAAAGCATCCTTCAAGTTCTAGGAAGGGAACCTTAGGGAAAGAATGAACAGAATTACTTAGTTCTATTAGATATTTTAAAATTAAGAACACCTTTTTCAGCAAAACATTTATTGTGTTGATTTCTGAAATTACAGGCAGATATCTAAGATATGTCACTTTGAAGTGGATTTAAATTTAACACATAAAATAAAGTGAATGTTTTCATTTCAGTGAAACAAATCTTCCAGCTGAGGGTCCATATGTACCAGGCTCGCAGCCTGTTTGCTGCTGACAGCACAGGTCTTTCTGATCCCTTTGCAAGAGTTTTCTTCTCAACCCAAAGCCAAGTTACTGAGGTGAGTATTAAAAAAGCCTTCCTTTAATCCAGCTGTAGCAAACAAATGTAGAGGAAATAATTCCTGAACGACCTTACAGGTGCTGGCTGAGACACTCTGCCCCACATGGGACCAGCTGCTGGTGTTTGAGAATGTGGAGCTGTTTGGTGAAGCCTGTGAACTGAGAGATGATCCACCAATTATCGTCATTGAGCTCTATGATCAGGACACAGTGGTGAGAACATTTTTTAACGTTGAAATGTCTTAAGGTCTTCAGTTTTATTAATGGGAGCAAACATTCTTCCTTTGAATAGTACAACATGTCATAGTTGCTGTCTCATCATGCTTCTTTGTTTAAATAAAGTTTATAATTAGGGATGTCCTGATCATTCGTATATATATTTAATATTTTTAATTTAGTGAGAGAAAATCTTCCTTTGTTACTCTTATTCACAAACCAATAGCATTTTGAAGATGCAGTCTCCTCTATTCTTCCTAACACTACCAGATATTTTGCATAAAAAACATAATCCTGCTCCAACACAAGGTTAAAACCTGCATGACAGTTCTATTTACAGTAGAACAAACCTCATTCATTTTAAATTCAATTTTTTTAAAGCACCAATTCACAACACATGTTCAAAACTCCATCAAATCATACGGACCGATTGGTTAAAAGTTCCCTAAATAAGGAAACTTAGTTGATTGAATTGAGTCGTTGACTGCAGAATTCATTCCTCCTGGATCAGACAGTAGATCATAGACATTCATTTTCCATCTGTTCTTGACTTTCCACCATCCCTCACACTATGCATGCATACAGTGACAGTTGAGAGGAAAAAAATCCTATAACAGAAGGATTTCTCCAGCAGAACCAAGCTCAGTGTGAGCTGCCTTCTGCTAAGGCCGACAGGGGATTCAGTAAGACAGAAGCAGACATAATAGGAGCGCAGAGGCACTAATCCATAAATAATAATTATATCATAATGAGCTGGCTTCATAGGGGGCTATCTACAGGAAAAAATCAGCTAAACAGTTAAGCTCTGAGTCAGTTTTCAAGTCAGGAGAATAAAAGAGAGCACATACAGCTAGTCGCAGTAAAAGCTGAGCCCGAATTACATCTGGGAGATAAAAAGGACTTTATTATTGAAAAAGGCAACATAGAGGAATGTGGTACTTTAGTCCAATACTGCTCTTTTTAAAACCCTTACATCAGGATATTCCTTCTATCAAACTATTTTTTATTAGATTACATGTGATCTTTTGTTTGTTCACCTCTGCTCAACATGATTCATATTCGAAGGAATGTTTTCTGACTGATCATTTTATATTTGCTCCTGACATTAACACCAATGTTTTGGATGACCCTTTGGATAAGTAGAGTGTGGATTGCCTTGATGTACGGTAGCAGATTTTTAAAGTGTGCAGAGTAGATTGTATTCAAAGGCATGCAAGAGGAATAAGATAGGTCCACAACGATAAATCAATTGACCGTTCATGATAGTTTTATCCCTGTTGCATTCCTTTTAGTGACATTTTGTGCTTTTGTATGTGGCCATTGAAGTATTTGACTTCTTATAACCACTAACTGCAAGAAAGATTTAGTTTCACAGTTCTCAGAGGCATCAGAAGACACATCTATTTTGCAGTTTACTGGTTATTTCCGGGGGATCTTTATTTTGTTTTTGGTTTCCTTGTATTTGTAGAAATATTTATTCTTGAAACATGTGCAATTCAAGCCATGTTTCTTGTGTTTTCTCTAAATCAAATCAACAAATGCTGACACTGCAACTATCTTATTTTGACATATTTTTAATGCAAGCATTGTAATTCTAAATTTATGTTTAAAAGGGTAAAGCCGACTTCATGGGCAGGACGTTTGCTAAGCCTGTGGTCAAGATGGCAGATGAGCATTACGGGCCGCCGCGTTTTCCACCGCAGCTGGAGTACTACCAGATCTACCGTGGGAACTGTGCTGCTGGGGAAATGCTTGCAGCCTTTGAGCTTCTTCAGGTTAGTTGAAAGAAGTTTGGAAACCGATGCTGTCACCTTGTAAGCGTTAAGCTTCCCATGGTTTTAAAGAGCTATTTTCTCATAGATCGGCCCCAATGGAAAAGCAGACCTTCCTCCCATAGATGGGCCTACAGATATGGACCGTGGCCCAATCCTCCCAGTGCCTCTGGGGATTAGACCAGTGCTCAGCAAGTACAGGATTGAGGTATAAACTTCACAATGACTCAGAAAACCTCAGTGATTTTTAAAGGTGTGTTTGTAGAAATTGCAAAAAAATAGAATACATGAACTCTGCTTCTTCTAGGTTTTGTTCTGGGGCTTGAGAGACTTGAAGAGGGTGAACCTCGCCCAGGTGGATCGGCCTCGTGTGGATATTGAGTGTGCCGGAAAGGGAGTTCAGTCGGCCCTTATTCCCAACTACAAAAAGAACCCAAACTTCAGCACTCTTGTCAAGTGGTTCGAAGTGGTACTGTTTCATTTCCTTTCTGTTTTTCAACTGCAAAAAACTCAGATCTATATCAGAATTAAAAAATGCACTTTTAAGATTTTAAATAGCAATGCCTTAACAAGCACATGAAACACTTCCTTGGCTTTGTAGAGATAATAATGAAAAGTAGTTCATGTACTCAGATCGGAAGTTTAAAGACACAACATGTGAAAAAGAATCTTTTATTGTGTATGTTAGGATTTGCCAGAGAACGAACTTCTTCACCCTCCGCTGAACATCCGTGTAGTGGACTGCAGAGCCTTTGGACGCTACACATTGGTTGGCTCCAACGCTGTCACCAGTCTGCGCAAGTTCATCTATAGGGGTTCAGACAGGCAGGCCAACAACTGGTCCACTACAGGTATAACAGAAACCCTTGGGTTTCATACATACAGTACCCCACAAAAGTATTCATAGCCTTTTGACTTTTAACATTTTAACCTGCAGTTTATTTAGATTTACATATATCAGCAGTTGCTATGTTAATTGTACAGGTTTTGAACTAACTACAATGTTCTAATGTTTTATTTTACCGATATTTTAGTACTGTGTTTTAGAAATACCTAACTTTCTTTTCCTCAATGGCAAGAGATTAAACTACCGTAGACTTCCCCTTTTCTTGACTTACTGTAGGTCATTTAGTACTATCAAAATTATTTCCACTTACAACATGCCAGAATAACTAGAGTGAGAATATTTTATTAATTTCTTTAAATTACTTAATTTTATACAAACAAACACAAAGCTCTTCATCCCTTTAAAACAATTTGGATAAACGTGTTTTGGAATTTGGATGAAGCAATTTAGCTCCCAACAGGTTACGATCAACATTTCAGTAAAACTGAGGTAACCTCTCAAGGACACCACTTCATTGTTTGAAATTATAAAAATCTTTTATGGGGGGATTTCTGTAAGAATGACTGGTGCATTTTACTAAATATTTGGCTTCACAAGGAAGCTAAAGCTACCTCTTAAAGGGATATTGTGTCAGAATTGCTGCCATCTAGAGATGAAAAGCGGGTATTTCCTTGAAGCGAAAACTATCCCATATTACATCGCTGCCTCAAACACATATTGGTGGAACAGTAGCTGCTGTGTGTCAAACGCAGATGTAACACAGATGTAACTATGTCATCCAAAGTGAAATCTTTACAAGCTGGTACTTACAAAAAGCCAACATTCACCGCAGCTTTGAAAGCTACTAAACCCGCATAAACCTACAATTCTGTACTAACAAGATTGGTTTATGTTTACAGGATCTACTGTTATGCTTTATATGGTAACGAGCCACACGGTCTAATTGATCCGAATGGAAAAAGTTCAGTTTACTCACATTTTTTATTAGTACAGTTCATTTACTTGTCAAGGAGAAACATGGTAACTTCAGCATCCCTTTTCAAATTTTTCTCCTTTATTAGCGCCTTTCACCTGGAGAAGGCTTACCTGATGATGATCCTCATTTTTTATTGTCTCCACTTTTGTTTTTGCCTCCTTCTGGATGCTGAAATAGTTTCTTATGCTGCTGCTGCAGATGCGGTCCTGCACTGAGCTGCAGACTCTCAGCTGTTGGGTTAGCGTCTCCAAAGGATCTTTACCGCCGCCTCTAAATCACACTTCACTGCCAGCAATGGAGAAACGCGTAGTTGTTGCTAGTAATATTTATCCATCTGCATCTGTACTTTTAAGACGACAGACTGTCATGTCATTTTGCAAATGCGTAACCAGCCTTTTATATGAACTAATACAATATTTGTTACATATGAAACTGTATCTGTTTAATAGTGGAGGTTTTAAAACATAAAAATAACACATATTTAAATACAGACATCAATTTAAGACAATCAGCCAAGAAACTGAACTGTGGACACAAATAGGTCTTCTAAACAGACTATGGTCCTAACCAAATTGCAACATGTGGCGCAAGGGGACTGATAGACAACAAGGTCAATGGTTTTTAGGCCAAAAAGTCCTTGAGCTCAGACTGAGCTTTGGTCACTTTGCTCAGTGGTAAAAAGATGTACGCTAGTAGCCTTAAAACTCCCCTCAGGTAGACCAGTTCTGTCAGGAAAAATGGGCCAAAATCCTGCAAAATATTGTGAAAGATCTAACAAATTTAACCAAAGGCATACAGCTATGATTTGCCATTCTTTCCAACACTAAGGAAATGTATGTTGCCTCCTACATTTAAAGACAGTAACCAAAATAAACTCTTCAAAATTCTGCTATTTATCATTTACAAATAATTGTCATCCTATTTGAGTGAAACAGGAAAAGTTTGGTTTAATTTAATGTCAGGTAGTTTTTTTTCAAGGTTTATAAATTTTTGATTTAAATCATATGTTTGTCTTTCAGAGGAAATTATTGTGGTGAGCATGGAAACTGAGCCTGCCTTTAAGAAGATGGATACAGTGGTAAAACTGGACTCTGTAAGTTTATACTTATTACCGTAGCCTCGATTTAATGATGCAGACCGAGGCAAAATACCTCATATAATTTCAAATAAACATGGTCTGCATTTTATGTTACCAAGATTGTTCTTAAATAATCTTTGTAAATGTAAAATCTGCTGTTCTCTCACCAGTGCTCCGAGGCTGTGGTCAAAGTCGAGGTGAGCAAAGCGCAAGATACAGTACTGTCTAATTCAAATAAAAATATGTTTCTGATTTATTCTAACACCTGACAATATCCATGGTACCCACTGAAAAAAAGGATGACGAAAAAGATGAGAAGGGCAAAAAGAAGAAGAGGAAGAAGGGGGAGGAGCCTGAGGAGGAGGAGCTTGATGAGAGCATGTTGGACTGGTGGTCCAAATATTTTGCCTCTATTGAAACTTTAACTGAGGTGAGTTACAGTTTTTCAGATATAAATACACTAAAAAAAAATAAATAAATAAGAAGAGTTGAAATAAAACCTACCACTGTTTTAGGCTCTCAAGGCTCAAGAGGCAGCGCTGTCAGATTCAGAAGAAAAGGAAGACATGGACATTGCTGATGGTGGAGGTAAAAAAAAAAAGAGACATTGAAAACTTTAACTGAAAGATTTTACTTTCACAAGTGGAACAGTATGGCTATCGCCATAGTGTTCAGCTTGATTTATGCATATAAATTGCTTTATTATAATTATGCAGGGAGTTTTACAGATTATATATACACACTGCAATGTAAGTAGTACAGGAAAGGAAAAACAGAAAAAAAGGAGAAAAGATTAAAGAAAGAGGAGATAAAAGGGAGATAATGATAAAACATTTTCAGTCTGCTTCATCACCTGGAAAGAGATGTAAAAAGAACAGCACAACCAACAGACATGGTACAAGACATACAATAAAGTAACACCTAGATACTATCGCTGAAGTATAAGTAGTATTATACTGTGGTAGCTGAAGATAAGGATATGGGCTTTCTGTATGGAAGTGACCAACCTACTCCTTCCCATTCTGATGTTTAATATGGCTGCTTCATTGTTTTCAAAGAATCTAAGCCAACCAAGCTGCTATAATCAATTATTTATAGTTGGTTTCATTAGATGGATGCATACATGATCAACTTTTACAAGCTAATTTTCTCCTATTCAATTCTCCTTTCAATATTTAAAGGCCTAAAATGATATAGCAAAAATCACTACACTTAAATAGTTCAATGCTCAATAAATAAAAAACATCAAATTACACTAACAATTATTCTGTAGAATTATTAAAGGCGGAGTGCCTCAAGGATTCCTCTTGGGGCCCATATTTTTTTTCTTTTTAAAAAGGCTGCATGATTTCAGGAAGATCTTTGATTCCAATACAGATAAAAAATATATATATATTTATAATGATGACCCCTGGTTTTTCAGCCTGTCTCTTTGTTATTCATCGGCCATCATATGAGCTCTAGAATCTTATTCACTATTTGTACTATTATGTTAAAGTTATACAACCCTTTATTAGCTTCATAAGCTTGTGTACCATTTAGGCTTGATAGCCGTTTGAAATATGGTAAAAAGTTGTGTTTTACAAAAATTTCTAAGCTGTTATTTCTAGTTTTACTGTAGGTGTATACAAATTTAACACTTAAATATATAGAAATTGAAATACAAAAGTTTGTTTTCAGTTCAGAGGTGTCTAATACAATGAAATACTGTGTTTAAAAGCTGATGGGGTTAAATTCAAGCCTGAGTGCTATGCTCCAATATTCCTTTTCTGAATATATATATATTTTCTATCTGTGTGGCAAGCTGAAGACTCTCTAGTAAAAAGCCCCAAGAAAGGAAAAGGAAAGAAAGACAAGAAGAGACCAGCTGTGGATCCGTTTGAGAAGAAAAAGCCAAAGTTGGATGAGCTTAAGGTGGAGAATCACTCAATATGATGTTATGTTTCTAAAATCATCATGGTGGATGTCTATTAGCAAGGTCATAAAATACTGTATGTTCTCTTCATAAACAAGGTGTATCCAAAGGAACTGGAAAGTGAATTTGACAACTTTGAGGACTGGCTCCACACCTTTTCCCTGTTTAGAGGAAAGGGGGGTGACGATGACGACCAAAATGTCACAGATGAGGACAGGATTGTTGGAAAGTTCAAGGTGAGAAACGGATCTATATGCAAAATCAAAACAATCACCAGCAATCAGTTATTTTGTTCCATTTCTTTCCTTTAACTGTTCTGTTTAAGGGTTCGCTGTGCATGTACAAAGTGTCAGATGAAACACAGAGAGAGATGAACTTTGACTCCAATTTAGGAATGTTTCAGAACATTCCTAACAATGATCCGATAAATGTCCTTGTCCGCATTTATGTAGTCAGGGTAAGTCCAAACGCTCTGAAGCTCAATGCAAATTAATGTAATTACTCTTTCAGCTAAAATCAAGTCATATTTACAAGGACTTTAATTGTTGTAACACTGAAATGTTGATGTTTTATCAATAGGCGACAGATCTGCATCCAGCAGATATCAATGGGAAAGCTGACCCCTACATCGCAATTAAGCTGGGAAAAACAGAAATCAAAGATAAGGAAAACTACATTTCCAAACAGCTGAACCCCTTGTTTGGCAAGTAAGTGTCTGGATAGAAACAGGATTTCTGGAGAGATTTTATTTTAACGGCATCTTTTCAAATTTTTACTGTATTCTTAGATTTGATTGAAAGCACATTTCTTGTGGTCTTAGATCCTTTGATGTGGAAGTTACGTTCCCCATGGATTCCACTCTGACAGTGTCAATCTATGACTGGGATCTGGTGGGAACAGATGATCTGATTGGAGAAACAAAGTTGGATCTGGAGAATCGTTTCTACAGCAAACACAGAGCCACATGTGGGATTTCATCCAGCTATGCAATGTAAGGATCTGAGATTTAACTCTTGTTAGCATAAAGTAAATTTACTTTTTCTCAAGTTAGTGAAGGTACAGCTTTCATAGCTTTTATTTTAGACTACTTCAGAATAACTTCACAAATAAATGTACTTTATCATGTTTGCTGTGCAGTCATGGTTACAATGTGTGGCGAGACCCAATGAAACCCACTCAAATCCTGGCGAAGCTGTGCAAGGATGGAAAACTGGACGGCCCTCACTACGGCCCCGAAGGAAGAGTGAAGGTGGAGAACCGTGTCTTCATGGCGCCAACTGAGATCGAGGATGAAAACGGTTGGTTTCTACCACAAGGAATATTAGGAAAACTATCAAAATGGTTACCATTGGGTCAAATATGTCCAAAACTTGAACTCATATCATTAGTTTATTTCTTTGGAAATGTGGAGTTGAGGTCAAACTTGCCATCATGGATTGATGAAAGTCATTAGATAATCAAGTCTTACTGTACAAGTCTTGCATGGAGTTAAGGGGTAAAACACACTAAAATTAGAGCTTGGTACTATGAGGCTTTGCCTTGATACTGAGGGACAGCATTGTGTTGAAATGATAAAAATAAATGAATGTATATATGAAAGGAGTCAGGAGGCTGATGATGGTCAAAGGCTTGTACAGAAATCTGACTTTATGTTTTAAAATAACAGTGGTTTTCATTCTTTATTGGTTGGGTAGACAAACAGCGTCATGATTACCAAAGTGAGGACCAGACAGGATTAAACATAGTCGTAAATTCCGTGTAGTTTTCTCACAGCCACCATGTTGAAGTAGGTGTTCTGGTCACAAGAGGCTAAAATTGAAATTTGCCCACCGAAAAAATAATGCAACCACTTTTGGCATTTATTTAATCATATTTAGTTATTTTAACACAATTGTTGCATGTTAGCAGGGTAGGACATAAAACAATTGTGTTAAAGTAACTAAATATGATTAAATAAATGCCAAAAGTGGTTGCATTATTTTTCTTTTGCAGATGCTGAACAGGGGAAAATCCCCAGAATTAGCTGGAAGGTAAATTAAACTCAATTAAGGGGAATTATAGAAAAAAAAAATGACTAAAGGGCCAGTGTCCTGTAACTTTTAGATGTGTCTCTTGCCGTACACGCCTGAACCAACTGGCTAAGCTATCTCACTAGCAGCTGTCAAGCTTAGCTCTGCTAATGAGCGCATAATGAAGTAACGTGTGTTACACCTTAGAGGCTGTAAACGACCTATAACTGGAGTGGAGGTTCCCCTTACAAACAGAAAACTGGAACACATTTACTGCAAAGATTACGTCGCTTCATTTAGTTAAATTCAAGTCCAGTGGATAATAGCATTAGACACACCCAGCCAACTTCCACATCTAATTTCTAATGTTAAGTAATTACTGGTCACAGGTGCCTGCAACACTTGTTACATGTTACAGTGAAAGCTGGTTCTACGTAGTATTGACTGAATGCAAGCGCAAGTTACACTTTTTATATTCTTATTGAAAACAATTTTTTCAAAAAGTGCATCATTATGCTCCCTTCAGGCTCATATGCTACTTTTTGCTGATTTGCCACAGAAAATCTCAACAAAACGCATTAGGCCTGATCTGTAAAGATTCCAAATACGGAGCACATGATTGATGCAGCAAAAAACAACAAAAAAAACCCAAAATATTTTCAAGAAGTGGATGTTTCTAAATATAAATATAGACGTAAAAACTGTGTTTATACTGAGTCTTAGATTGGATAAATTGTTTGGTCAGTGATTTACATCTCAAGCAATATTTTGGTTATAAGCAGGTGGTTTGCATTCTGCATACATTTTATACACAGAAATGTATAAAGATCCACTTTGCACACCCTATTCAGTTTGCATAAATTTTAGGCACGCAAAACCTTTTGAAGATCTGTTGAAAAATTGTAAGAAAGTTAAGAGTTTTGCAAAATGACATGTCTAATAATATATTTCAGGTTTGAAGAAGAAGACGGATGAACACCTGGCTCTCTCTGTGCTGAGGCACTGGGAGGAAATTCCTAAAGCCGGCTGCAAACTGGTCCCAGAGCATGTAGAAACCAGACCGCTCCTGCATCCGGATAAACCAGGAATCGAACAAGTATGTTAACAACGCGTAAAGCTGAAGCAAGTTAGAATTTCTGTTATTCTTTTTTTTTTCTCCTGAAAGGCATCTTTTATCATTCATTTAACTGTGTACAGGGAAGAATAGAGATGTGGGTGGATATGTTCCCCAAGGATAAGACTGCACCAGGTCCTGCTCTTGACATTTCACCAAGAAAACCAAAGAAGTATGAATCAAAGCTTTTGGGAGAAGAACATAAAGGGATCAGTTTCCAAATCACTGCTGATAAATTCCACTACATCTCATAATTACCTTTTTTCTTATGCAGGTTTGAACTTAGGGTCATCATCTGGAACACAGATGAGGTTGTTTTAGAGGATGATGACATCTTCACTGGCGAGAAATCAAGCGACATCTTTGTACGAGGGTAAACATGTTGATGTTTTCCTTTTTTTCAAAGATTTTAATCACACAACAAAAAATATTTCGAAGGGATAAACCTTTAATTTTCTATTTGTTTTCCCCTGATTCATGACAACAGATGGCTGAAAGGACAGCAGGAGGACAAACAGGACACTGACGTCCATTACCACTCCATCACCGGAGAGGGCAACTTCAACTGGCGCTTCATCTACCCGTTCGACTACCTGGTGGCTGAGGAGAAGATAGTCATCTCCAAAAAGGAGTCAATGTTTGCCTGGGATGAGACGGAGTATAAGATCCCTCCTCGACTTAATCTCCAAGTGTGGGACGCTGACCACTTCTCTGCTGATGATTTTCTGGGTATTTTTTAATAAAAACTTTATGTTTACATTGTCAAACACATACATTACTTATCCAGATGTATTTAATTAATAAAATACATAATAAATGTGTTATGTTTTGAATGTACTATCACAAGGATTAGTAAAATCAAAGTGTCTCCATAGGTGCGATTGAGCTGGACCTAAACCGTTTCCCTCGTGGTGCAAAGACAGCCAAACAGTGCACCATCGAAATGGTGACAAACGAAGCCGAGATGCCTCTGGTCTCCATCTTTAAGCAGAAGAGGATTAAAGGCTGGTGGCCATTTGTCGCCAGAAACGAAGAGGATGAATTTGAACTTACTGTGAGTTATTCTTAATCAAAGAGCTGTAAGACTATTTCTGTCATATCAACAGAGGTTCTGATGTCAAGTTTAGATTCATAACTTTGGATTCTGGGTTATTCCAAAGTAATTTTGATATAATGGGATAAATGTCTTTTTGGAATGCCAAACTGTTCCCAATAAACAGAGATGGATAATCCAGGTCCTAAAAATAAACAGCTTACAGAGTTTTAACTTTCTGGACCTGGATTATCCACTTCTGGCAATAATGTCTTCAATTTGTACCCGGAAGACAGAATTTCCAACCTCTGGGTAGGAAATTTCAACTCCAGCCCCTCAAAGCTGGAATTCGGAGTTAGAAATTTGGGACAACAGATCCATACCCAGCTCTCATAATCATTGCGGCTGATTCAACAGGAGAAAAACTTTTTAACTTAATTGTTTCTATCAGTTCGTTAAAATATATGTGACATTTAGTCAGTCCTTCATGTAATATAGACAAATTTTTACTGTTTATAAGATTATATGTTTGAATGCTTTTATATAAGCATTTAATATATTTAAATGTTTTGTTTTTATCGTACCACAACTCCTTTGGTAAAATCTGCTTACATTTATTTTGTTTTTCATATCAATAAAAGAAGCATAAAACTAGCGATAACTTACCTGCACACATAAAGCAACTCATCCCGATTATTCTTCATCACTTACTTTGATAAAGTGTGTCACAGATATTACAAAATAGTTTTCGTTTCGTTTTTGTTTGTTAGGGCTCTGTTAAGTTGCACGGACTTGTCTTCATTTTTTTAGTCGTTGCTTTGATGTTTATCACCTCCGACAAGGCAGGATAACTTGAAAAGTTATTAGCAGGTTTTAGTTAATCACCTTCTGGATCAAGGATTTGTTTTTAAAGATTCTGTGAATACAGGTATTAACTTGAGGTAGAAGTCACAATATGTGGGGGAAATGGGCTACTTGGCCGAGGTATTTGCTCTCAGAGTGCTTTTCTGGTTTTCTTTTGATTTTGAAGCACTCATCAGTCTTCTGCTGAGGAAGATTCTCAGTCATCCAGGTCATAGTCATTCCAAAGAAGAAAAAACAATCCACTGGATTTTGTTTCCAAGTTTGAAGACATTTCGCTTCCCATCCAGGAAGCTTTTTCAATTCAAAATGTCAGCAATATTATTGAGTTCGAGGTTTTATCATCAGTGACTGTAGAATGTTTATTGTTGTGATTCGTGATTTCAGTTTAAGCCAAGTTGCCAAAATTAAACTGGTTATGTCTTCAGGGTAAAGTCGAAGCTGAGCTGCACCTTCTCACAGGGGAGGAAGCGGAGAAAAGCCCAGCTGGAGAGGGACGCAATGAGCCTGAGCCTCTGGAGAAACCCAAGTAAGGAAGATCTTCTTCTCCCAGCTCTGGTTCTCTCTGTAACGCTCTCCATGATTGTTTTTGTATCCCTATATCATCCTTGCTTTCTGCAAATGTGATAACACAGAAGACACAGCTTTGATCAGACCTGCTGTTCTTCTCTCTGTGCCCGAACAGCCGCCCAGATGTCGCCCTCCTCTGGTTCCTCATCCCACTCAAAGCGGCAAAGCACCTGGTGTGCGACCAGTACAGGTGGCTGACCATAAAGATCGTCACGGCGCTCCTGCTGTTGGCCATCTTGGCCCTCTTCCTCTACAATATGCCGGGATACATGGTCAAGAAAATGCTTGGAGCTTGAAAAGGAATCAGGACAAAGTTTTCCCTTTTTTTCCAAATAGTGTGCCCTAACACAAGAAACAGGTAATCTGATATTGGCTTGAGTTGCTGTTATCAATGTGTAAAAATATAATTTTGTTACTGTTGTTCTCATATTAAGGCTTTTTTTGGGGGATTTTTAGCTTTTGCCTTATATTTTTTTTTGTTGTTGTTCACATTCAATTATAAAACATAAGATCCGCATTTAAGTGAGAGTGTTTTGTTTTCTTGTGTTAAGTTTTTCAGGAATATTTGTGTTTGCTTTTCTGCATTGTTTCAAATTTTAAATAAAAACTCCCCCTTCACACCTCTGATCATGTTATTTAAATGTATTAATGTGAAGTATTTACAATTCCTTTTCAAATGATTGAATAATTGTTGGCTCATAACATCTGATTTAATGTTTAAAATTATATAAAGAGTTACGTGTAGATTTTGATGTTTTTAAAGTAATAGAGTAAGATAAAAGAATATAGATAAAGTGATTACAAAATCAGACGTTTAAGCAGAATAAAATTTTCATGTAAACTGACAAAAGAAATCCTAACAGTAGGTTATGAATACTTGTCAGGAACAGATAAAGAAATTTCATCTACTACAGTATATCTACTTTCAGCTGATCTCCAAATAGATAAAGTTTCTTGTGGAAGGTACAGAATAATATTATTACAGGAATATTATCTAATCAAAAGTTTAAAGGTATGGTTAAGTACAACTAGCTCAAAAAGTTAATGTGACAGACTAAATGTAACTAGTTACATACCTCTGGTAGTCTTAGAGCATGATGCTGCCACCACCGTGTTTAAATGTGTCAATGATGTGCTTAAGGTAATGTGGATCTTTTGTGTTCCAAAACCTGCAGTTTTTTGTTTTTTTTTTTTGCAATACGCAACAAAACAAAATGTTAGTCCTGTTCAACCACATCATTACCGTGTCAATTATATGGAGCATGACAAAATATAAAATAGGAGTAATTTGGCTGTCTTTGAACAATAGTTCTCTTCTTGCTACTTTTTTTTTTTTAGCAAGAATTAGTGCAAAATTATATAGACATCTTGGAAAAATGTAGAGAGGTCTATGGGAAATAGTGCTGTGAGGATATCTGCAAGGCACTACTGCATGTGGAAAAATAATGAAGTAAAAAATTAATGATTTACAATGAAATATCTTAAGAAAAATTAGGACAATTTCTTTAGATCGAAGATAGTATTTTTGTGTTCTATTATAAAGAAAATCCTTAGATACTTATAGCTGTAGTATATTTTGCTTAGCATCTTGTATTGTCCTATTTTTACAGAAGAGGATTAGGGCTAATGGGGAAAAAAAAGTTAACTGATTTTTAAATTTTATTTCAGTTTAGTATGGGAAAAAAGTCAGAATTCTGACTTTGTTGTCAGAATTTTGACCTTAATCTCAGAATTCTGACTTTTTTTATTGTCAGAATTCAGTCAGAATTCCGAGATTAAAGTCAGAATTCTGACTTTGTTCTCAGAATTCTGACTTTAATCTCAGAATTTTGACTTTAATCTCAGAATTCTGACTTTTTTTATTGTCAGAATTCAGTCATAATTCCGAGATTAAAGTCAGAATTCTGACTTTGTTCTCAGAATTCTGACTTTAATCTCAGAATTTTGACTTTAATCTCAGAATTCTGACTTTTTTCCCAAACTAAACTGAAATAAAATTTAAAAATCAGTTAACATTTTTTCCAGTGCCCCTATTCCTCTTCTGTATATTTTTGTACGAGTTTTTTATTTTTTTATTTAGTGACTTAGAAGATAATTTTATAATGCAACCTTTATGACAACCATAGCTTTTTTAAGATCTGGTGTCCTCTGCTGGGTCTAAGTAGAAATTACACAATATCTCAGCAAATGACAACTATTTTAGGAAGCAAAAGCTTGTTTTTATCTTTAGACAACCTAATCTTTGTAAAATAACATAAAGATACAGCTTAAGTTGCTATAAATGGGAATTAACTGTCTTATATTTGAAGTAGGCCTACTACGCAGGACTCTATATATTACCGTAAAGGTAAGAAAAAAAGGCATACAAGTTTTCCCTGATATTTAAAATAATAATAAAATAATTATGCTGTAAATAAAATGAGTTTCAAAACCAAAGAATAAGACTTACCGCTTGCATGATACTGAATCCTAATTTTAAAGGAAAGTAAGTCAAACCAGCCAATTGGTGAATGTCTCATTTTTCTTTGGACCAATCACATCTTTTGGGAATTCTTTAGCGTTACTTTGGATGGTTCACTTTTCTTGATCCTTTTTAAACTCCCAGAGTAATTTGAAAAGCTGTCAAACAATTATCTGGATTACTTATGTGAACCACACATTTAAACATATGCCTTTTTTGACAGCTAAATGTTAAATGCAACACCCGTTATGTAAAAAAGCAGGTATACATTTCGAGTAGCATGAAAGTTTTGCAAACACACAAAGACTGTTTGGATATTTCCACATAACACAAAACAAAAGACATTGTTCAACAACTTTGTATTTAATGAAAACTCAAAAGATTATTGTTCAATGGACATGGTCAAAGAGATGCATGTTCCAGTGAGCTAATGACAGCCAGTTTGCAAATGAAAATAGCTCAGGAAAGAAAAGGAGGTGTCGTAGTTTACTGGATGGTACTGATTGCCAGTCATCGGATCACAGGTTTCAACTTTCCTTCAAATGGCAGCTAAAGCTCTGGTAAACTTTTCAGCAAATGAAAAATAAAACACAACTTTTAGCAGGAAAAGAGAAAACTGTCATGTAAAAATGTCTTTACTGATTGATGTACTGCTACATAACCATATTTTCTGTCTGCAGGTTAAGCTAAAAGGATAATGTATTGTCAGCCAATAGGATACTGTAGGGATAAAACCAGAATCTTGAGACAACTTACAAAATTTTCACACAAAGCACATTTACAAAATATCACTCATTCACAGTCACTGTATAACATTCTCATGCTCGGATATGTTGCTCATAAATAAGGAATATTTGCAGAGCATTGATCACATTTCTGAAGTTGTTGCACTGAACAACTTCCTTTAGCATTTCACATGCTTTAAAACCCGCCTCAACATAAACACCAAAGCTTAACGCCGACCCAAGAGCAGACCGCCGCACAAGTGGCCTTGGCTTTTATTTTACATACAGTAGGATTGCAACAGTTTTGCTACAGAAATTCAGCTGGAACAAAATATAAGTTAAATAAATACGAAATAAAGTTATTTAAAAGTCACTTTTGTTACAGGTTTAGTGGCTCAAGGAGTGTCATGATGGCACTTTAGAGCAATGTGGATCTGTGCTCTTACGGTAGCATTTAACAGCACGCATAAAGGCAAATAAACACTCAAGAAAAAAAAGTTATATTCATTTATAAATCAATGTTGTTAATCTTTACAAACAGAAACTCTGCTTCATTATAATTCCTCTCGTTCCAGTTCTGTTTTATGCATTGCTCATGCTAAAATCACTGGGATATTGTTGTACATTACTATTACAGTGTAAGTGGAGGCAAGGAGGAACAGGAAATAATTAGATGGAGCAGTTGTGGAAAGACAGAGGGTGGAGATTTTGGTTAGCAAATGATTTAAACATGATTAAGAAAGAAAACAATAAAGATCAGGTATAAAGAGGAGCATTTCTAGAAAGCGTGCAGAGTAGAAAAATGAGGGAAAAAAGAAAAAAAAAAGGGGTGGTGAAGGTGGTAGGAGATCAGTATTCATCCTGGTCCAGGTGACCTTGTTCATCAAGGTCGTCTTCATCTGGAGGGGCGAAGCCTTCCTGTAAAACAAAAAAAATAAAATACATCCTTCAGATTCTTTTTTGCTTTTAACTGAAATGACAAAGAAAAAAATGCGAGAAGATTTCCGAAATAAAAGTGAGGAAAAAATCAACATAACATCAGTCCTAATGGACGGGTACCTCTGTTGCGTAGAGAATATCAATTATCCTGCTGAGCACAGGGTTGTTTTCACTCTCATGTTCTTGGCAGATGAGCTCAATGTCCCGTAGTTTGCTGAAGTAGAAGTCTCTCTCTTTCTCCAGACCATCGACTGTCAGTTTTAACTCCATCAACTGCCACAGTAAAAACACAAGCAAATAACTTCAATTATCTATTTATTCTCTATCCATATAAGAAGGCCAGGTGCTAATTGGTTAGCCTTTTATGGACCATCATTATAAAACTCTTTAAAAGCAGACAAATATGCTGGTGACATCAGTTAATCTCAGTGCCGTTTGATCTCT